AGTGGATTACTTTTTCTCAAGTTTCAAAACGAGTAAATTGTTGTGGGGAAAAAGTTCTAAAAACATCAAAAAACAGTATTTCTGTACTAAATCAAATTACGATCTCGTGTCACATCATCAAACTTCTTCCTCGACGATAATTATAAAAGCAAATTATTCCAATTTCTATGCGATGTGCAAGGCAATTTATTCTCTGACAACTAGGCATTGTACTTCGCAACGACCGCCTTCTACTTTTAAGCCCATTAAAAGAAAATGATCCCGTCAACGTTTGCGTTTTGATTCTAATTTCGTGTCCACACCTACCTGTTGTTTCGTTCTTATTATTATTTATTTGCATCGCTATGTGCGAGAAAATCTACTCTTACATTAGCGTCTAAGCGCCATCTATTATTTTTGCATTAATTGAGGTGCATCAGGAATAAGTAATGTTACAATAATTATCGTCTAAAGTAGGTATTTCTCTTCATTCAAAAATCATATAGGTATTTCTTTTCTCGTCTTTATTTTGAAGGTTGAGACACCCTATATAGATTGATTTAATTGGCAAATTATAGTTAATTTTTATATGACACTAAACATTGTCTCAATCGTATAACATTGAGAATATTCAGTTATGACATATAAGTTCTCGATAAAACAACTAAAATAAATTGAACAACGTCGTTAAAAACGGCACAAATTGACACTGTTGACCCGTTGGAGAAGCAGAACCCGCAAATTGTATTTGCGGACTTCACTGACAGCACATAATAATATTTTAATTAGGACAAATGATGATGAAATCCAGTGGTGTGTACTGATTAGAACATAATAATGAATTTTGATGCATTTACTCAATTTAGTACAATTAACTTTTGAACAATGTACAATATAGAATCAAAACAAATGTACAAAATCTACTTGCTTCTAGGTACTGAGACTTTTTTAGTTATTTTTGGTATTCTAAAGCTCAATAAAGTACGCGGCGCCTATGGTAAAAGAGCTCCATCATTAAAAATAGACTCAAAACATGCACTAGACGAGAGCTGAAAAAATTTCTATTTAAATCAATTGAAATTACACTCTTTTAAATACATCAAGCTCCAGTTAATCCACTTAGCTAATGTCATTTCGTTTTACAAATAACAAAAAGTAAATAAAATTCAATTGTGGCTTTAATAGGACACGATGCAATGGATGATGATGCAGTACAATTTAAATTGTTATTTGAATTCCAGACTCTGCTGTCGGATTAATTTTCTTGTTTGCGGCATTTTCGTTATGAAAGCTGAGTATCGTAATTCGCCGAAAACAGCGAGTAGCTATAACAAATCTGATTAGCGAAATTCCGAATTATTACAGCTCCACGCAATAAACTCTCTTTTGTGCTCGAGGAGGGGTTATTAGAGGTTTATAACTTCATTTTGCGCGACTTTCCCAACGAAATTACTTCATTACGCTTTTAGTTTGTTCTTCTTGGGTTATTGTAATTGAATCGGTTTTTTGGTTATAGGAGAGTTATTAAAATGGATGAGGAATTTGAAATTTTTAGAGAAATTTATTCTAGATAGCTCATTTTGAGTTATAATTCCAGGAGAAAAATCCCGGTTGTATAAAAAAAAGGAAATTAATCGTTTTTCAATTCTTCTGACATAGATAGGAATCTGAACTAAAGCAGCAGTCCACTCTTTAGCTTAAATAACGAGTGGATTGCTGCGGAACTCGCTGCGCTTGTTCCGCAAAGTTTTAGAACTTGAGTAAAACAATCTACTTATTTTGGGACTCTAGAATTCCAATGTGAATCAGGGTTGGATGGGCTTAGACAAACCGGCCCTGGCAATTTTTTTCATCCAGCCCTCCCTTGGACGGCAAGAATGAAAAATGGGTTTCAAAAATTTTACTGTAAAGAATTTTGGAATTTTCATTTTCGATATTATTACATATAGATAGGTCACGGTGCCATTGTGACAAACAAATATAGGACTTGACGTTTTCTCTTCCCTTAATTGCTCCTTGCATTACATTCAATTATCTTTTGTCTGTCAAGTGACTACTCTTATGGCTAGGATGTTTGAGAGAGATAGGTTGCCTGATAACTGTATGACGTCATCTGGGGTGCCTCATCCTAGCAGGAAAACTAAGGTCCAAAAGTAACCACTTTTCCAGGAACCAGAGTGATTAGTAATTAGATTACTTTCGGATCGCTTTTCTGTCGTTGCCACATCTTTATTTTTGGTTGAGGAGCGATGATTAACCCTCAGATTTGACTGGATTTGACCCATTTCCCAAAATCATGAATACTTGCTTCTTGATGTTACTAAATAGGTAGGTACCAAAGTCGTGTGTATAAATTGTGAAATTGTGTAAAACTATGTAATTTGACCAGCATATCGTGTAATTTCACAAATTCAGATTGGCAACACTGCATTATCAACTAAACCGTCACCAGTGGTTTCGGACCTCACGCCTAATATTCAGTTTGAAGCTATGGTCCGAATATAACCAAATGTTAACCAAAGTAACCGATCCGGTTGACAGATGGTTACTGAAAATTCCGGTTACCTCCTAGGGAACACGAATATGAAATAAAAAATTGTTGACAGAATTTACAGATAAAACCAACAGAACCGACATCCGATAGTCGGTAACTATTTTGACATTTGGTTAACCAGATTTCAGGAAACCAAGGTCCAAAAGTAACCACTTTTCCAGGTACCAGAGTAATTTGATCGCTTTCGAACCGCGAAACCACAACCCTGGTTATATTCGGACCACAGCCTTAATATTGTTTTATATAGTTTTCATGATGTTTTTGTCAAATATATAAATTTTAAAATTTTATTATTAATATAAAACCCGACCAGCCCAGAGTTATAACGGCCCAGAGTTATACCAGCCCAGAGTTATACCGGCCCAGAGTTATACCGGCCCAGAGTTATACCAGCCCAGAGTTATACCGTCTCAGAGTTATACCGGCCCAGAGTTATACCGGCCCAGAGTTATAGCGGCCCAGCACTTATGTCAGACAGGCTATGACGGGTCAAGTAGAACTTGATAAGGGGGCCCATAAGTGGCTTAGTTTAGTTTCATAGTTTCGTCCAATGTATCCGAGGGGCCTTAAATAAAGTGTGTGTTCAGTTCACGAAGTAGTTTTGCTACCAACCTAAACATGGTGTTAGGTGTGGTTGCTTGATTTACCACCCAAAGAGTGTTTCAAAATTTGTTTCTCAATAGTTCATAAAGGCGCTAAAAGTACTTTAATATTGAATGGAAATCTTCAAGCCACCCAATCCTTTAACTGAGTGCGACATGAAGAAATGGTTTCTGTCGAAACAAAAGTTTGAGATTTACTTGAAAGCTGCAAGTGAATAAAGTCATAATAAACTGTAGCCCAAGATGTACAGATTGCAATATTGTCAAACTACATAGGAGATGATGGTCTACTTTTGAGACAGATAAAACATCTATACGTTAAAGAAGTGTTTTCAAGCCCACGATGTCCGTTTTCTCCCAAAGAAAATCATCAGAGTAAATTTTCGATTGTTTCCGGTTCAAAGACTTGGAATAATTACTCAATTTTTTTTTTGACAACTGACAAGCCTACAACAATATCATGACTTTTGACAATTGACGAGTTAATTTTCAGGACTACCTACGATTGTTATGACTTTTTTTTCAATTGACAACCTTGTGATTCAGATTGAGGCCTACAACAGCAACGTAGCCACATTTTAACGGTAATTTTGGAAAATTTGTAATTGTAAATGTAAAGCGTTGACAAGTGGCAACTGACATCAAGTAACGATTGTTATGATGTTGTAGGCTGATTGAAATTTTTAACTTTTGGCAACACTGTAACGCTAGAGGATTGAAAGACCCACAAAAATTCTTAACATTTTTCTATGGAAAGGATGAAAGCATGAATTCCCAAATAATCTTTTAAAATCAAACCTTTGAAGATTAATGTCTAAAAATCATGAAAAATCATTGTATCAAAGATAGGAATCTGAAATTTTCAAATAATCTTATTTTAGTGCACTTACAACCCTAAAAATGTCAGCTCATTTGCTCATGAACTTCAGAGATAAAGTCCCTCTGATAAGTATCATTTAAATTCAAATTTCAACATGGAAAAGTTTGAAATTTCCTCATTACTGTTTCCAAAAAAGAAAGAATATCGATACACCACCCATTCTGAAAGGCCCCAAAGCACCAAGACCGGCCAAAAAAAACAATAATAATTGAAGACCTGTCACCCATCAAACCGACAAACTAATTAAAACACACTGTATATGACATCATCAGATTCAACTTTTTAAATGATGGATCGGCTAAATTTTGTCGACTGCGTGTTGTTCGTCAATTAACAAGTGTTTTAAATTAATTATTCGATAATTACTTCACATGCTCTAGATAATGTAATGTTCCTTTTTTTTTCGGGAAGGGCACATTTGTTGGCTAAATAATGTCTTAAATTTTCGTTTTAATTGTTCAATTTAGAAAGGGTCTTGACAATGATGATGATGTGTCGGACATAATTACATTTAATACGTAAAATCAAATATTAGTAGATGCGGGTGGCTAACGAATACATAAAAAAAAATGTAATTAAAGTTATTTTAATTAACTAAGCGTGGCAATTTTAGAGGGGTTTAATAAACCGAGTTGATTCAATTTTATTACAAGAGTAAAAATAGAGTCAAATTATTACTAAATTGTAACTAAGTGCCTATAATCATTTAATATATTCTACTGTCGTTAAGTAAAATTATATTATGGCACACTTGAGAAAATATTTTTTTGGCCAAGGAAGAAACTCTCTATATGGAATAAACTTAACTCAGGCCTCATAAATTCCTAAATAATAAAATGTTGTCTAATTAAGTCCAATTAAATTGTTAATATAATTACAGTAGCTGTGTTGGTTGAGCCATATTTTAAATTAAACACACCGTGACGTCAGCGCGTGTTAATTTCAACTAATAAAACGACTAATTAACATTTTGATTTTTCCTTACCCGTCTCCGAATGGGAACATGTGCGAAAAATTGTGCTGCAAAGGCTTGGGTGGTTCCGAAGGAGCCGGAGATGTAGGATTGCTGTGCTGTGAAGACGGACTTGACCGATCCGGTTCCGGAACGTTTCGGGGCGGCTCGGGACTTTCCGCAGCCGCCGAACTTCGACTGGAACATTCGCGAACGTCTGCGGCGATTTCCGGAGAAGAACTTGTAGTTTGACCGTCTTCAATCTACAATATAAATATTTTGGATTATGTAATAATAATTAAAGAAAATAATTATTACTTTTTCTTCTTTAGTAGAATCTCCATCTATTTTAACAATATCGTGTCCTTCACGTTTGCGTTGTTCTTCTTTTAGGCGTTCCGCCTTTCTCCATTTGGCACGTCTATTTTGGAACCATACCTAAAAAACAATTATTGAATTGAAATTTTTCGTCCCCTTGTGATTCCGCAAGGGCCCCAGAACGCACGTTTACAAGTCCCATCGCATGTAAAACGATACCGGGACCGACATGAGAAAAATAAGTGCCCTTATTCAATTTTGACGGTAACCTGATAGTTTAATGATAATTGTAATTGTTGGGAATCGCAAATCGAATTAGAGAGACTCGTGGCGTATTTGCCTTTTGTATTTTTGTTGATGATTTATTAAAGAAGGGACGGAGATGAAGTAGAAATAAATATACAACTTTGTTGGAAGACAATAAATAATTTGGTTGGGAATTTTGTTCCAGGAGTTGCAGAAATAGTGTTACTTCTATAGAATCTTTTTCTTCAACAATGATGGGTTATGATGGGATATGATCCAGAAATTCTTGAAGAAAAATATGAGGTACCTACACATTTGTCTGGTTAGAATATAGAATCAGGATCAGCTTAAGTGTATTTGTTCCTAATGAAAGAGATTTTAATCCATAAATCTTGGAATTTTAGTCACTGTGATATCTAGAAGTATTTTTACAAGCTCTCAAATGCGATTTTATGGGTAATTTTTGAATTATCCATGAAGATACATAAGGAAAACAATTTCAGCATATTTTCCAATCTCTATAGATCAACTAGAAGTATATTTTTCTTAATCAAAGAGATTTTGATCTATAAATGGTGGAGTACAGGTTTCAAGATATTCAGTTTTAAATGGAAAATTGAATCAAAATTCTTCCAAAAACTCTAAGATTTGAATCGATGAATTGACAGCATAAGAAATTTCTCCCAAATGAATCTCATTCAATCAAAAATTCGTTTGTTTGAAGATAATCTAAAATTTACCGCTCCAATTAATCCAATGTCCAATGAGCATAGTCTAATAACGAGAACTGATACAATACCGAATATAACCATAAGTTACCTCGAGGCGATTTTAAAATATCATCACCATAAATCAACATCCAGTAACAAGTTGGGGGAAAAATTACCGCTAATCCGCATTTATTAGCCTTCCGCAAACCGCAACAGATGTTGCACTGGTGGTAGCAACCCCTTCAACCTGCTACATTTTTTCAAAGAGGGGGAGTTTTAAAACCCTCAAGGGCTAATAGAGACATTATTATTATTTTCATGTAGTATTTATGATATATTTTTGGAAACATTAATTTAATTTAGAGAGTTCTGGAAACTTGTTAAACGGAACAAAGTTTAAAAAATTACTTATAGAAGAAAACTTTCCGAAAAGTAAATTTAAACTGTAAAAGAGGACGTTAAATAGACACATAACATTTCGTAAAAGCCGACATCAAACGGCCGGATTATTTATTTTAACCTTATAAAACATCGTAAGAGGGTTGTACTTCGCTGTTTTATGAAATCACTCTGGCAAGATGCGGATTAAAACCAATTTGATCTCGCCCTGGAAAAGCAATTTTAAAGTCGAATTTATGTACTCGACTAGCAAAACGATCCCCTGCCTTAAGATAATTTTATTTGAAACCCTTTTAGCGAGTTTGTCAGGTATGAAAAATATTTCATTACGTGCCTGTTTTTTTTATATAAGGGGTTTAAATCGAGGGGTTGCACCATGCCACTACGTATTATTGCGATTGCTTCTGTCCGTTTTAAGGGCGGTGGTAACCTGACACCGCCTCACTGTTAAGGGACACAAAAGGGACGCGTGTGCATTGCCTACGTCATATATAAGAGACTTTGTGGGAATAAGAATAAATATACACTCTGTCTATTGATAATCAAGTTTCATTAAATTGACTTCAGAATTCAATAATCACTGCCTTGAACTGCTAAAACTTCCTGTTATTTACACTTTTTGGATGAAAATGTATTGCACTTTTTGAAAAAAAATTCGAATTTGAAGCTGAATTTAGCAAAGCTTGTAAGAGGTATATTGGATTAATTAGAAGAGTTTTAAAGATAATTTAATCCCCTTCCAAAAAAAAACACCGTTGACGTTAAATTGTAGATAATTAACGGAGTTATCAGGGTTGGTATACACAAAAACAAAAATCAATTTGTGACAAAAACCCACTCATACAAAACTCATTCCTGCCATAGCGTCAAATTTCAATTTAAAATTTAAGAAACCAAATTAAATTGTATTGTGTATGTCTTACTTAAACAGTTCAACAGTATATTGGTAAGTAGATGGCTGCGGAACTCGCTGCGCTCGTCCCGCAGAGGTCCACCCATAAGTTCCGCAACAATCCACTTATTTGTACTTGAACAATAACTTATTATATAAGGTTAGAATTTGTAAGATTAACCACTTTTTGTCAATTCGCCTTTTAACAGGAATTAGTAATGTTATTTTACCAAACTAGTAATATATTGTGACAAGTTATTCAAGTACAAATGAATGAATTGTTGTGGAACTCATGGGTGGACCTTTGCGGGACGAGCGCAGCGAGTTCCGCAGCCATCTATTCATTAATATGTTGTTCAATTACGATACTAACCTGACTCACTCAAATGTTAGTTATTCTCATTAGTTTGAAAATTACATGTTCCAGGTGAATGTCTTATTTGAACAGTTCAACAGTATATTGGTGAGTAGATGGCTGCGGAACTCGTTGCGCTCGTCCCGCAGAGGTCCACCCATAAGTTCCGCAACAATCCACTTATTTGTACTTGAACAATAACTTATTATATAAGGTTAGAATTTGTAAGATTATCCACTTTTTGTCAATTCGCCTTTTAACAGGAATTAGTAATGTTATTTTACCAAACTAGTAATATATTGTGACAAGTTATTCAAGTACAAATGAATGAATTGTTGTGGAACTCATAGTTCCGCAGCCATCTATTCATTAATATGTTGTTCAATTACGATACTAACCTGACTCACTCAAATGTGAGTTATTCTCATTAGTTTGAAAATTACATGTTCCAGGTGAATGTCTTATTTGAACAGTTCAACAGTATACTGGTGAGTAGATGACTGCGGAACTTGCTGCGCTTGTCCCGCAGAGGTCCACCCATAAGTTCCGCAACAATCCACTTATTTGTACTTGAACAATAACTTATTATATAAAGTCAGAATTTGTAAGATTATGATTATTCACTTTTTGCCAATTCGTCTTTCAACAGGAATTAGTAATGTTACTTTACCAAACTAGTAATATATTGTGACAAGTTATTCAAGTACAAACGAGTGGATTGTTGCGGAACTTATGGGTGGATTCAGCCATCTATTCACCAATATGTTGTTCAAGTACGATACTAACCTGACTTACTCAAATGTGAGTTATTCTCATTAGTTTAAGAAGTATACGTTTCAGGTGAATGTCTTATTTGAACAGTTCAACCGTATATTGGTGAGTAGATGGCTGCGGAACTCGCTGCGCTCGTCCCGCAGAGGTTCACCCATAAGTTCCGCAATAATCCACTTAATTGTATAAGGTGTTTTTTTATATATTGACACTCCACCTACCTTCTTTATCTTTACTGGTAGAAAAAAGGTGTAAATACAAAAGTTGTACAGTTTTGGCTGAATTTTTAGAAATCATGGTCAGAATCAAAATTTGAATGTCAGAAATGTGAAATTTTGCATGCTTCCAGCTTTTTTCAAATGGAATACCCTATATTTCATTCTAGATTCTTGAAGAGCACAATACCCCGATTCCAAAAATATATAGTTTGTCTATATTTGATTGAACAATTTCTTATATATTCGGCTCCAAAAATTGTAGAAATACTACTGGGTCCCTATTCTTGAAACAGGGGAGCAGCGTTCCCAGGAGAACAAGTGTTCCCTCTTTGTTACTTAAATTATTATTTGCTTATCATTGAGAAAGACAGAACACTCGTTCTCCTGGGAACGTTGCTCCCCTGTTTCAAGAATAGGGACCCTGATTTTGTGAACCATTCTACCTGTATAGGTGAAAACTGCAGGTAAAATTTGAGGTAGGTACTTGGTTTATTTTTAAAATTTTTAGAACCAAATATGTTGGAGCCAAATGTAGACAAACTATATAGTTTTGGAATCGGGAAATTGTACTCTTCAAGAATATAGAACCAAAAATAGGGCATCCCATAGGTAGTGCATATTTAGGAATATCTCATGTGTCTTAATCTTAATAAACTATTTCTCATAAGTAGTATTAAGGGCCAAATTATGGACTGACTGGTAAATGTCTGGTTGTTACCTAGCAGGTACTTTCTATGCTCTAGATAATAGAAAGTACCTGCTAGGTAACAACTAGACACTTACCAGTTGGTCCATAATTTAGCTCTAAGCAAACACAAAATCAGAATGACCCGCAAAAACCCCAAAACCCAATAGAAATATTGAAATATTCTAAAATCCGGGTTCTAACCAACTCTGGTAGTTATTGAGGAGCTAGTGAAAAAACCAATCTTGGATTATTCCAGGCTCTTGAATTTTCGTTTTTTCTTTTTTATAAAAACATTCAGTAGATATACATGACTCGTTTTGCATCCTCCGTTGCCTCCGTGACGTCTGCGCAAGCGTCAAACATGGCGTCACAACGCCAATACGTCATCAGTAGAAAATCTCTGAACTAACCCAAATGATGGCCACGTGTGCTATGCCATATTTTCGGGCGTGGCCCGTATTTTGACATACGTTACTTGTCAACCGTTACCTGTCATTTTTGACAGCTGTCATCTTGTACGGGGGCCGTGTTCGTTTTTGTCATCTTTTTCATCGATTTGCTCCGAAATTTTGACAGGCACGTGATTTGTAAATTGAAACTGTCTGATCCAGTCACGTGCCTGTCAAAATTTCGGAGCAAATCGACGAAAAAGATGACAAAAACGATCACGGCCGGGGTAACAAGTCATGAGGTACCTGTCATCTTGTACGGGATAACAAGTCACGAGGTACCTGTCATCTTGTACGGACTAACAAGTCACGGGGTACCAACACCTGTCACGTTATCTGTCACCAGACTGACTGAATTGCTAACAAATACAGTAACAAAACTACTTTTACAG